ACCTGCGGCAGAGAGGTAACGTCAGCCCGGCAGGCAGCGAGGCAGGGCTTCCTCCGGCACCGACCAAGGCCGCCACGCACGGGGACGAGGCTCTGCAGCCTGCAAACCGGGCTGCTTCAACCTGTGGGAGAAACCCTCTGAGAAAAGAGAAAGTCACTGGCGGAAAGAGAATATAACAGAAACTCTCAGAGGTGACGGAGTCATCCTGGCAGCATCTCTCATGCACATGTTTAAGTTTGCAGGGCAGTAAATAGAAAAGGCTGAAGAAAATCCCTTCCAGAATTACACTCCTGAGAAGCAAAGCTGTTAGTATCTGGGTTTGTTTCCCCTTTTTTATATTCTCTCACTGGACAGGCTGAAGCTGGTTAGCTGGCCTGGGTGTGTTATCTCTGCTCCCTTTAGCATTTGAGCACCATTGCTCTTTTCCAGTTGCAGAAACTCTTGCTCGAAGGCACGGCACGTCTGCCCCGAACAAATAAAGTCAAGACCAGCCTCTGCTAAAAAGGGTACGTCTTTCTTCAACCAGCCCATTTAATTTGGCTGGAGAAAGCCAGTTCCCCTCCCCTTGTTATCACATTACTTGAGCCAAAACAGAAAAAGAAATGAGAAAACCCCGTAATTGCTAAGGAGAAACAAGGAATCCAATTTCTGCTAGATCTGGACTGGAAGATCCATCCCGCTCCTCACCAAGTGGCGGGATGAGAGGGATAAGAGAAGAGACCCACCACAGCAGCCTCCTGTCCTGCTCACCTTGTATTTGGGTCTCTTGTGCTGGTCCAGCTCAGCCTCCAGAATCTCCTCTGTGAGCTGGACCTTCGTTTTCCATTTATTCTGCTGCTCCTTGGGCTGGTTGGATGGAGGATGAGCCTCAGCGCTGGGCTTGGCCTTCTTCACAGCCTTCTCCTTCCCGAACACCACCGTGTCCCAGAGCTTGAGCCACTTCAGAAGGCAGCGGTTCGTGTACTGCGTGTCGGGCAAGAAAGCAAGCAAACCCTGTTGAACCTCAGAAGGATCTGGCCGAGGACAGAGGAAGGCCTCTCCTTCATGGCTTAAAAACCGGCGTGGCGTGCCCAGGAAGGAGCCAAGCCCGGGGGGGCAACGCAGAGCGTGTCTGCCCAGGCAGACCTCGAGCGCACGGCACGTCGCCTCCCGCCATGGGAGAGGCTGCCCAGGTTTCCACCCGGCACCTCTGGGGGACAGCCTGGGAACGCGGCTTCCCTTCCCAACTCGGCCACCATCCCGTGGGGCAACTGAGGACAAGTCACATCGGCCCCATCCCTGCTGTCCCTCGTCTGTCTCGGCTCAACCCAGCGCTTCTCAGCCTCTTCCGTAATTTCCGATTCCCTACAAAACTTCTAATATTCCAAAAAAAAATTGAAATAGTCAACAATTCCTGGCTAAAGTCCACCCAATCTTTTTTGTCTTATTTTGGTCATCTTTCATAGCCTCTTTTGTCTCAAGGTCCACAGCCTACAGCTGAAAAACCCCCACCCCGAGCTCTCCGCAGCAGGACTGCCCCCGGGCAGGGCTAGCATGGACAGAGCCCCCCAGCCAGCGCTTCCGAAAGCCCCATGAGCAAAGGCAGCACCGTAAAACCACGATCCCACAGCAGTAAGGGAAGTTATAAAAGTGATAAGCCCACCTGAACCCCAAGCCCCCACTTATGCTAGAACCTCACATCATCACTGAGCAGCTCCATGTAGCGCCGGGGAGTAAACTTGTCCACCCAGAGGCAATGCAGCGCAGACTCCTCCTCGTCTGCCGGCTCCGCTTCCCCGCTGGGCTCCGGGTTCTCGGCGCTGGTTTCGCTCTCGAGGCAACTGCAAGAAAGAATTAACTTGCCCCAAACCACCCAGGGAGTCGGGGCAGGGCTGGGAATCACACCCCGACTTTCCGAGCTGGGGATGCTGAGGGCGAAGAGGCTCCTCTGCGCGCAGGTCCCCAAAACTTGGACCCCACCAGAGCATCTCGGGAGCCGTGTCCGACAGCGTGGCAGGGATAGGAGTGGGATTTCATCCCAACATCTCACCTGTTTATTATCTCCGTCAGCTGCTGCGACGCCTCCAGAACACGCCTTCGACGCTTGAGCACAAAGAGGGCGAGAGGAGGGAGGGCTCAGAGACGCCCCGCTAACCCGCGGCTGGGGGGAGCGGGGATTCGGGAGCCAACACTGCGGTTATCCAGGAGTGGCAGGGGAAGACGGGAAGGGCGGTATAAGATGCGATACCTCTTCATCTACTTGCTCCTTCAGGTAGGAGAAAGGCACCCCCAGCAAGTGGAGCGGCCTGCGTGCGTTCCAGCCCAGGGAATCGGGGAGCTGCGAGGAACGGAGGACACACGCCGACGTTCACACCAATGCTCAGCACAAACATTTCGTGCTTCGTCAAAGATCCCCTCCTGAACTGGACGGAGGTCACAAAGAAGCAAGCCAGGCCTTCAGATCCCTCCTTACCTCCACCCCCGTCCTGGAGGGATCATCCCTCACGACCATGAAGACCCTGGTGCCCTCGGTGGACGTCACGTTGATGTAGTCCTCCAGGATGGGTGGCCGCTTAAGGACCCGCTTCTTCTCGGAGGGCGGCGTGGTCTGCAGCAGGGCCATGCCGCTCATCTCCAGGCGGTCCGAGCTGGAGAACACCGGGTTCCTTTAGCAGGGGCGAGGGAAAGGGCCCTTGAACCCCACCGAAGGTGGGGTTCA